CCAATGAGGATGCGATCCGGGTGCATGAGGTTCTCGACGGCGGTGCCCTCGGCCAGGAACTCGGGGTTCGATAGAATCTCAAACTCGTCATTGGGGCGGTAGTATTTGAACTAGTCGCTGTCAGCATCCTGTCTCCAGTCAAGGCATCTCGATCAAGGCCACTCACAATATCTTGAATGACACGAGCTGTGCCGCATGGGACAGTACTCTTTTCGACAATGATGGCTCCCTTCTTGGCGTGTTGCGCGACGGTCCTGCTAGCACTTTCCACCATGCTGATATCGGCCATCGACCCGGCTCCCAGACCATAGGTCTTGGTGGGTGTGTTGACGCAGATGAAGATGACATCGGCCACCTCGATGGCTTCGTTCACCCTGGTTGAGAATACCAGGTTGGGGCTGCGAGCGTCGAGCTTGAAGGATCTGGGAAGCCCCGGAATCTTCACCATGGTGTCCACCGTACCATCGCGAGCTGTCCTTACAACCTTCAACAAACCATCCTCGTGAATTGGGAGCTGGCTCGAGTTCCAAGCCGCAATTCGCTGCTCGTTCAGATCAACAACGTTGACCGTGATGTCTGGGTTGTGGTAGGCAATGACGGCGGCAGTTGGTCCACCTATATGGTCAAAGTCAGCAATCTCCTTTCTCCGCGGAACACATCGGACCGGAAAACATACCAACAAATCCTGCGCCAACGAAGCAGATGCTCTTCACTGACTTGGTCACAGTAGGCAGCACCTCGGCCACATCTACTCGTGGAGCAGTCTCGACCTTCTCTGTCTGAAACCTCACCTTGAGTTCTGGCGAGCCTGACCGTGTGCTAGGCGGTGAAGTGTTTGCGCTTTCCGGAGACCACGGATGGGCGGTCCACGAGCCTGGTGTCGAGGCACCCGGGCTCAAAGCGGAAGCGAGCGACTGGGTGCTGGGGAGTGATCTAGTAAGAGGGCCTGGTGATGGGGTAAGCAAGGGCGACTGGGGGCCCTCCCGGCGGGAGCAACAGCAATGGTGAGTGTGGTTGGCGTCCATATTGCCCCGATGTGCTGCTGATCACAGAGGAAAAGAGAGTGAAAAGAGGACTTGATACGTGAGTGTTGTCCGAATGTCTTGGAGCGATGTGCTTTGCCGCCAAGGGTTAAGGCTGTTAGGAGTGTCTCGGGGATATTGTTATATATCCTCTGTCCGGAAGAGGTGCTCGAGTCTGTACCCGATGCAGTGAGCAATTATCTTTGCCATCTTCCGAGTTTTCTAGCACCATGTCGGGCTACGGCTTCTCGTCACAACATGATTTCTTCATGGGCCCGACGCAGAAACACCAGTCTCGGCCAGGGGTCACCCATGGCAGAAGCCATCACGCATCCGGGTGTCGTCACAGTCCATCAGCAGTCCGTCGGTTGTCCGCCTTCTCACCGGCATCATTGTTCCCTAGCACTGGGTGGGATTACCCATGATCCACCCATGCTGGACTGGGGCCAGAAAAAGTGCCAAGCTCACTTATTCCCTCGGGCATCTACCTGGTGTCACCACTTTCTGAACACCGACAGGTCCGGCACCTTGGACTGGTCCCCGAGCCTCGTTCTCATTCGTCTCTTTCCCCAGGTACGCACCGCTCTGAGAAAGTGTTGTTTCAGCACGATAAAGTGGGGGATCTTCGTGACTGGGGGATGGAATACCCCTGGGTGCAGTAATGACAAGTACCCACCGCGATGAATACCACACAGATGTACATCCTCGACGATCCGGCACACAAAGCTAGCACCAAAAGCATTGCTCCTGCATTCTCTCGACCCCCACCTGTTTTTTTTGACTCGCCAGATCCGCACCCCCTACTGTGTTCTCCCACTCACTTACACAATACACTACATGACTTGAGAGATGAGTTGCGATCTCAGGGATCCCATAACCAAGGTCGAGAGTGGAGCACTGGTCTAGACGTTTCTTTCAGCTGTCCACAGTCTACGCTCACCTTTCCTTTTCTGCGCGTAGCTTTTCTCTTGCGCAATGTTACTGAAATGAGCCGATGAGAGCCCGCTGGTGATGATGGATGAGGCGATGATGGGCACATCTTGTCGCTTCCTGCCGCTCGAGCTAAACTCGTCCATCTGAAGGGCCGATCGCAATGCAACCGAGTTGGAGGCTTTTGTTCAGTCTGGGCTCCATTGCCCACCCGCAAAACAGTCCGGCCGGAGTTTGTTTCTTGGGCAGTCCCCAGATAAGGGGATCGGCGGCGGCTTTAAACATGGGGTTGGACGGGCTAGACAGGGGACACCGATGCCAGCAGCCAGGGCGGCCCCGTGACGCCCTACGCATTACGGATTAGTGCCTACTTGGCACGTGATGGGCCATGGTTGTTTGCCAACGCGGCCGCAGTGCTCGATAGAGTGGTACCGCTGAGCTGTCACCAATGGAGTCGCCGATCATACACTACACGGTCCCGGACCTGACTCGGCAGGGCCCTGACGCAGCGAGCAACCCCTGCTTCACATCATCTACAATACACTACAAACGCGATAAAGTCGGGGGAGATTAGCGATGGCGGAAATCCACCGTCTGACCGCCGCCATCACCAACGAACCGCCGACAAACCTTAGTCTCCAACACAGCAACCGCCAACCGCAAACAATGTGATAATGGACATGCTGGCCTTGTCAGAGAATCCCGGCCATTTGTTCTCGGAACCATGGGATGCAGATGCGTGTGGTAGTACAGAAGCGGGTTTGTGCTGCTCCAAACGACGCCCTCCCTCGTTTTTTTCTTCGTTACCCAGAACCTACATCCTCCATTGATCCCGACTTCGACATTATCACTAAAGACGGCTCTCGAGATTGTTCCAGTTCGGCAAATGCAATGGCGGCGCTAGCTCTCCAACCACGTCTGCGCTTGTCGCTCCTAGCACGTCTAGCAGTGCTGCTAGCTGTCGGCCTATGGGGCCAGACCACTGCCGGAGCCTACGATACCACCGTTTGCGGGCAAATGGGTTACACGATACCTTTCAACAACATGACCTGTATGTCTCCGCTCTTCATTCAGCACTCTTTCAATAGTCCAGTTCCAGTCAGCCTCAGCTCGTGTCTAGTCAGGCACGCCATACTTGCTTCGTTCAGTTCACACGCCTAATCTTCCCACGCGAAATAACTTACAGTCAACGCCGACGCCTGGAACCCTGACGTCAAAGGATTCCAATGCATATCCGTAAGTCGATGACCCTTCTTCAGTGTGTTTTGTCTCACCTTGGACTGACTTTTCTTGTTCCCACTATCTTCAGGTCCAAGACTCACCGCCTGCTTTTGCGGCAACCTGGTCGTGGTCGTCGAATCCGGAGATGGTCCACTCCTACCCCCACGTGAAGCTGACGGCTCCTGGTCTGCCGACACCCTTGTCCAACATCTCGGCATTGGTTCTCTCCGCCCAATGGTCCATGGGTCCGGGGTCGAAGCCTCGCCCGGCGCGGGTGGTTGACCATGACGGCCTGACCAACGACGGCACATCTGCCAATGTGGCGTTCGACATGTTCGCTGATCGTGATGTCGCCAAGGCACTCAACGAGCAGACTGCAGAGACCGAGATAATGATCTGGGTGGGGAAGTTTGGCCATGCAGAACCACTCGGGTTCGACGCGAACATGACCAAGACGTGCTTCACCCAGACTATCGGGGACGCAGAATTGTAAGTTCTTGCAAATCACCCGAGAAGCGGCCGGTCAAGGCCGCACTGTCCCGGTCGACGGCTGGGAAAGCAGACTCTAACGAAATGTTGTACCCAGTGTCTTGTATCAGGGCCATAACGAGAGAGGTACCGACGTGTTTACCTGGGTAGCGTCGGCCAACCACACCACCTTTACGGCGGAAGTATCGCCGTTGTTGCAATACCTATGGCGCAACGGCCTGGTATCAGCCAAATCTCATCTCGGCTTGGTATCTTTTGGGTCAGAGGCGTACCATTCAGAAGGCACCGTCACCTTCTCTGCATCGGAGTTCGACATGGACCTGGTTACGGGCGCGGCTCCGAAGCTCGCAGTCGGCCACCTGTGTTCTCCAGCGGCATCCACCAATCCTCCACAATGGTTGTTCTCTAGCGCCTTCATTATGAGCGCTACTCTACTCTATCTGATATCGTAGCCAAGACATTAACTAATACACTAGTGTGCTCCATAAACCTTATTCAGCCGAGTCGGTCAGTAACATGAGTGGCACGGGCCATTGCTGCACAGTCTAGAGGGAGATTTGTGAAGCGAGTGAGGCCTCGAACGATACAATGAACAAAACGGTTCGCGCTCAAAACTGCGCTGCATCAGCCTATTTACAGGTTACGGGGAAGGTCCTGGGAAAATCCAGGGCCGCTGCATGCTCCAGACACGCCTCGTAAGCGCCATCCCGAGGCTTTAATATCCAGCATCCCTGTATCAAATTGCACATCACACAGCACGGTACACTGCATATCTTTCCCTTCTCTTAATTTGCTTCAAGGAAGGTCGGATGTTGGGAGAGACTTGTTGGCTGGCCCCAGGTACACCAGACGGGACTCACCGCCCCTGGCCATGAAGGTACTTGGCCTAACTTTTCAGGGACCTGGGGGTGGTCCCCTATCGCCAATGATCATCGCCGCTAGCACCGACTAGCTCAGGTACCCTGGTCTTCAGCCTCATGGCTTCTCGCTTTGTCTCTCTGTAGCGATAGACTCACCGATGTCGTTAGTGTGGGCATGTGTGGGCGTGCGGCTTTTGTTGTCTTTTTTGACTTTTTTTTTTTGCGCCTACTAGGTACTCTTCGCTTGGGAGATGGCGGGAACGGAATGCAGGGGCTCTCCAAGGATGGCTCCCAAAACTTCCCTTTATATGACTCCTTGGACGAGTGTTCACGAGTCTCGGATTGTCTCTCTTCTTCAGAGTTCAAGATCTTCAAGACACAAGCCCTAAACGGTGTTGGGCAGTGCAGACAGATCATCCTTTCCTTCTTCTTCACCCCTTTGATCTAGATTCGTCTTGATCTCTTTTAGCCACACATCATGGCACCGCCTCAAGCTGAAGATCCCAGGCCTACACTCGTGGCTGGTAACAGCTATCTCACGGATCCCTTCCAAGATCCTTCTTCGGACAGTGCATCATCCCAAGGGCCTTCGAGGAGACCTTCTAGTGTAAGTGTAATATCAACAACGACTACCAATTCTGGTGTTTGACAGATGTTGAAGACTGATCTCCTGTAAGGAAAATCCTCCCTCGCCAACTGTTCCAGCACCGCCAGTTGTTGCAGCACCGCCTGCGGTTCCTGCCCCTGTGGTTCCTGCTTCCGCTCGTGCTCCTGCGGCCCCTGTTGCCCTTCCTCCCCCTCAGATACAACTACCTGTCGATGATATTGTAAGGGGACACCCCACGTCGTGCTTTGGTCCCACAAGGTGTACAGCAGCTAACCTTGAGTAAACAGACTCCTGCCCCTGCTGCTCCTCCAGCAGGAGAGGTTCCTCAACAAGAGTTTGATGAGAAGACTGGTGGTGTATTGAACCCTGCTGGCGATGTCGAGCAGGGGCGGGCTGCCGCTGCCCCTGCCGGCGCCGATCCGGAAAAGTCCGGCTCGCCGCCCCGCAAGAGCAGAAATCCCTTCAAGCGTGGCTATTGGGCCTTCCGGAACACCTACTGTCCTAAGGAGGAGCCGGGCCTCGTTTTCCCCACCGGCCCCGATGACGAGGAGAAGCTCCGCTACGTGCACACCAACCGTATTCCGCTCTACGTCTTCGGCATCATCTCCTTCCTGACCCTCTCGGCGGGTATGTGGCTCTTTGCTGTTTGCAGTCCCATCTTTGCCTGGTACGGAGTGTTTGTCGGCTTCCTCAACATCTACCTCATCATCTCCTACCTTGTTGGCGTCGTCGGTCGCGACTGGGACTATGATGGCCACAAGAAGATCGTGGAAGAGTTCCCCATCAACGAGGAAACGGCTCCCACCGTCGATGTCTACCTCCCCTGCTGCTCCGAGCCTCTCGAGATTTTGGAAAACACCTACAAGCACGTCATCAAGCTCGACTGGCCCGCCGCCAAGCTCAAGGTCTATGTCCTTGACGACAGCGCCTCGGACGCGGTTCGCACGCTCGCTGAATCCTACGGTTTCAACTACATTGTTCGCGATGACCGTCCCCGCCTTCGTAAGGCCGGTAACCTCCGCTGGGCTTTCGCCCGCACCCAGGGTGACTTCTTTGCCATCTTTGACGCTGATTTCTGCCCCCGTCCGGATTTCCTCAGGGAGTTGGTGGTCGAGCACATGGCCGATGACAAGACCGCCATCATTCAGAGCCCGCAGTACTTCCGAGTCACGGATGATCAGACTTGGGTTGAGCAGGGCGCTGGAGCTACCCAGGAGCTTTTCTATCGTGTCGTGCAGGTCAACAGAAACAGGTGGGGTGCCTCCATTTGCGTCGGCAGTAATGCCGTGTACAGACGCGCTGCTCTCGAAGAGGTGGGCGGTACTGCTGAGATTGGTTTCTCTGAGGATGTGCATACTGGGTGAGTTTCTTTCTTCTTTTTCCTTGTTCTGCGCAAAAGGGTTGGGCCAGGTCTCGAGTGAGACAGTGGACAGTGGGACATGCACTTCGTATTCCGTATACGGTGCGGCGGGTGTGTGTGTCTGTGTGTGTCACCAACCCTCGAGTCTCTCAAACCCTTCTCCCGCGCCTTACCCCTGCATGGAAAACTGTGTTGCTAACCACCAGTCAAAATAGATTTGGCGCTGTCGATCGCGGCTGGAAGGTCAAGTACGTCCCGCTCTGCTTGGCTACCGGTATCTGCCCCAACACTCCTCGGTCTTTCTTCTCGCAGCAGATGCGCTGGGCTCGCGGTTCCACCACTCTCTTGACCACCAAGCATTTCTGGACTTCCAACCTCAACTTTATGCAAAAGTTGTGCTATCTCTGTGGTACGTACCAACCTGCCCCCTGGTCTCCCACCCCTCATCCACAGTCTGCTAACTCTTGAAACAGGTCTCCTCTACTACTCAGCCGTCTCTCTCGGCATCTTCATCTCTCCCATCCCCGGTACCCTCCTCCTCGCCTTCCGCCCCATCTACTTCAAGTACTACAACCTCGCCTTCGCCATTCCCTCCATCGTCTATGGCGCTGTTCTGTTCCGGTTCTGGGCCAAGGCCAAGTACGGCTTCAACGTGCAACACATTATGGTGGTGCAGTCGTACGCGTACCTGACGGCCATCAAGGACCGCTTGTTTGGCATTGAGCTACTCTGGGCGGCGTCCGGTGACAAGAAGGCGCACAAGAGCAACAAGTACCGCAACATGCGCGTGCTGTGCACGCTGTGGACCATCCTCAATGTCGGCGGCATGATCACCGCCGTGGTGTACCGCGTTGGATTCCATGGGATGGAGTGGTATAATACCCTGCCGCTGATTATCCTGTCGGCGTATAATTTGTACATCAGCCATTACTTTATCTTTGCTTCGTGGAAGTGGTAGTCTTCCGGGAAACAGGATGGAGATGCTGGAATAGGGAGGAGATTCTTCACTTCTTTTTGAGGGCCGGACCTCTGGGGTCTCGTCGAAAGGCTCACTCAATTTGGGAATTACTTTTTTTTATTTTTGGGACTGGATGTCGGTCGGTGGCATCTAGATCGGATTTACTTGGGGATATACAGGGTCACAGGGTGTCACCGGGTCATAACGGAAAGACAGACATGAGGACATTGGGAGGGGGGATACGATGGATTGTACGAAACGAACTTTGATGGAACTACTTGATGGATGGAATGTCTGAATGGATCTGGATCCCAAAAGAACATGAACTTGACATGCATGAAGGACGAGACGATTTTATCGATACCTCTACCTACCTATACATAAGACTTAATGAACGGATTAATACCTCACCTCATCTTTTTGCCTACCTACCTCTTGTTCTTACTATGATATGATACAAGGGAGTGAGATTGATGAGGACATGACTGCATCACCATACTTCAACCCATTCCAATCCAAACCTTTGTTAAATATCTTGTTTCCTTCTCCTTGATGTTCATCCCGTGTCTTCTTATTTTCACACTTTTTCTTTTTCTTTCTTTCTTTTTTTTTTGGGTTGTTTTTCGTGGTGAGGAATTGTTAGAACAAGGAGTTTAGTACCGCGAGAGCACTTCCTATGTACCTACCTCTATCCACTACCATGCCCACCTAGGTCCAGATCCAAAGCTGAGGTGGGTGGTGATGCTTGAGCTGAAGGAGTATCCTCATGATCTCCACTTCAGTAAAAAGACTGGCTGGTAGTAAGAACTTAGCTCTACCTACGCTAGGAAAACAGGAGGAAGTTAGGTACTAAGCTTCACCAAGTACACAGTGCTTTTTTCAGTAATTATGGTTCTCAAGCTACCTAGGTACTTATCCATAGTACATAGAGGTGCGGATATGTAGAGGTAGGTACAAGTGACATGTTACCTCCACTTGCTTGAACTGGTATAGAGGAGACATAGGTACCTCTAGTGTGGGTTGATCTTAATAACGATGCATGTATGAGATTACCTAGAGGTATTTACGAGGTAGGTAGATGTACTGTATAGAGTGAAGTAGAGTGAAGCTTTGGTGAGGTACTTGGGTGGTTGGAGTCTGAGCTGAGCTGAGTGATGAGCTGAGTGATGAGGTGCCTACCCCTTACCCTACCCCTACCGGCCTGCCCCCTGGACACTGGACAGGATAGATACGAGATGTTGTTCAGAACAATAGCACTAGAGGTACTAACGTTACATTCTACATCAAATACAATCAATGGTCGATCGTGAGTTGTTGGATATTCCCTTGTAAGCAAACGCCTTTCTACAATAGGCCTCAGTTCCAAATGCAAAATGAGATAAACCAGGGCGAGGTTTATCCCATGACGAACGTGGCTTAAGCCACTTCTCCCTTTAAGCCACCTCATTTCATTCCCCTTTTCCCACGCATAATATGATTCTTTGCTTTTTTTTTTTGATCGGTGCTCGTTATCACGATCCTCAAATGGTTTGTGCTGAGGGATCAAAACGCATGTGAAATATCACTTCTTCCTCTTATCATCGGAGGATTCCGCTTGAATTCCATTCATGTTATCAAACTCATCACAACAACAAACCAATCGGAATGTGATCGACGTTTGTGGCTTGCTGAGGCTGGGCTGGACTAGATTGGGCTGGCCTTTGGCGGCGGTGAGATCTTTCTCGTTCGGTGAACTACCTAGGTACTTGGAGGTACCCAAGCTGGGCTGAGGGCTGAGCTGAAAGAAAATAGCTCGAGAGTGAGTGAGTGAGATAAGGTCCCGACGCTCGATTGTGATTGCACGATTAGTAAGGGAATGCGGTTGGGATATGATTTGTCAATTGATTGACATTTCACGTTTAATATGAGGATCATCTCATTGAGTCGAGTATTTGACGTCGACAAAGGTGAAGATCGAGATTTCTACCTAGTATTCGGTAGTCCTCTCTTGGCATGTACTGCAAGCGATTCCTTTATCATCGCCGACTGCCTACTGTATAGGTAGGTAAGTTAGTTCTCGGTGCAGCGATATTGCGATTCCCTATCTCCCCCTATCTTCACTGTTGAAATTGAGCTGTTCAGTCGAAAATCGCAATCAAGCATAGAGGTAGTTCAAAAGACAGTGCCAAGCCGGAACCTTTTATTTTATTTCATCTTGGCCTTCCATGCCCGCTTTTACTGCTCGCAATCATTGCGTACATTTGCCTCCTTTCCCCCATCAACTTTCTCCGACTCGGCGCGGTTGTGTTTGACGGGAAGAGCTTATTGTGCTTCCGGGCAGAATGTAACGATCCCTCGACGAGTATGTTACCATGCCTACCTATCCGTCTCCTGTTGTGTCCTCTATCTACACCCACTGTTGCTCCCGTCCGGACACAAGGCCTGTCGGTCGTATTAAGGGGCATCACGATGTTTATATCCATGGTCGATGTTGTGTCGACGTTGTGGTTTGCAATATTGTGTGTTGTGTACAGGCTCCAGTATGCCTGGCATGACAGTGGAAGCGTCAATGTCTCCAATCCAGGCAGGCAAGGTTCACACTCTAGACTTTGTGCGAGGACAAGTCGGGTTCAACGACGTCGAGACAGGAAGGGAGTTGAATGGACTCATGGAGGGGCGGGATGCATATTAAGGTTCTGACTCAAAATTTCGCTGGCTAAGCTAGGAGTGTCGAGGGGGTCCAAAGAGACATGAAATGGGATCATTGATCAAGTTAGTTGAACGTCCGGTCGCACGAGACTTCCCTTCTCGGTCGGTCGTGGACATGTGGGAACGGGGATGAAGAGAAGAATTGTTAACCCGAGACATGGAAGAGACAAGTCCATCCCCTCCTCTATCTTTTCTTCCCTTTCCCGACTTCTACGCCACGCTGCCACCATTGCAACGCAATGCCAGCCACCATCAGTACCGGTGTCGAAGGCGACAGCAATCGACGATGTCTTGCATTTGCGCCTTCCGGGAACGACAAATGACACCCTTCTAGAAAAAACGATAACCCGACGGAAAGACGCAATTACCGGACGATAACGGCGCGCCCGCCAAGCTTCAATTCGCCCCGGTACTTGATACGGGATGAACCCTAGCGGTTACACACTTTGTGTGCAGCTAGCCTGGAGTGCCTCCTAGGCAAATTGCCCTAGGCAGATTACAGGATGTAGCAAAGATGCAGCATCCCGAGCGCATCACGGGCAGGAAGAAAAGGGAAGGGTTGACGGCGAGATTTTTTCCCTTCCTTGCGACTTTGTGAGACATGAGTGCCACGAGGTTGTGGCTGCCTGGGCTGCGACAGGGAGGCGTTTTTGAGGGGACGTAGCATCATAAGGCGAATTGATCGTCGAATGGAGATACGCGACAGCAACACGGGGGGTAGGGTCGGAACGGCAGTGTAAAACATCTGCCGTGTCACCGGAACACGGACCCTTTGAATCTGCGGAAAATCTGACGGCATGACTGGCTGGTATGTCCATCACGACATGAACCCAATCTGGATTTGCAAGGAGGGGAAGGGTTTCACGGAGCGATGTCGTGGAATCTAGACTCGTATATCAAGTGGGCATCTTGGTGGGCTTTCTCGTGCGAGCACTATCAATGAATTCTCCGCGTGTTTGTACATTGCATCGCCACCGTGAGGGAGGATGTTGCTGCGGTTGCGCATCTTGTGAGGGTCTTGGGGTCATCCATGTTGTAGGCGGCATGTTTGATGAAGGAAACTGCCCGTAGATGCACGTGTCGTATATTGCCAGCCCGTTCCGAGCGCGGCCGGTATCTGATGGCCAAGATGGTCAAATATCCAATTGCTTCTTATATTCGTTGCGTTCTCGCCAAGACCCCTTCATTCTGCCGACCCTCAAACAATCCGTTCCGGGACCCGTTCCAAGGGCGTAACCACCGGACTATCGGCATACGGGCTGATAGCACCATCCGCTACCGCAGCGGGCGACGCGACTGGGCTTTCGACATCCAATATGCTCATTGCATCCATCCGGTCCTCCATCTTTTTCCTCCAGGGGCGATAGATGATGACCGACGCCAGACCGACAACGACAAACAAGCCGCAGATGCATCCGCCAATAACGTCGTAGTGATCGCCTATCGCTTCAACCCCATCCCAGAAACGACCTGTCGGCTCGGCCACGTTGTAGGCAAGCGACAGGATCTGGATGACGCCAATGAAGGCCGACACAACGACCGTGATGCCGGTAAGCACAATCGAGTAGTACAGGATGGCCACCACGTCTCTCGAGAAGGCCTTGGATGTGTACAGGGCCATCATCAGGGCGCCGTCGGTCGTGTCGAGCATACACATGCCGGCTGTTGTAGCATCTCGTTAGCAGTCATCTTTCCTCTACTTGCAAAAGGCGAAACTCACCAGTAAACAAAATCGGAAAAATCAGAATCAACCAAATACTCGTCCCCTGCACCGCCTGTATGCTCGCAATTCCCAGCAAGGCCACCTCCGAACTGGTATCGAACCCCAGCCCAAACAGTACACCCAGCGGGTACATCTTCCACGGCCGATCCACAATGGCAAACACCCTCCTAAACACCCTCGCCAGAAACCCGGCCCCTTCCAACTGCAAGTTATTCATGGCCTCCTGCTCCTCCTCGGCTCGCAAATCCTCTCCTTCCTCCACCCTCCTTCTGCGCTCCCTCTGCTCCTTCAACACCACCCTCAGCCGCTTCACCAGCTTATACAACACCCACCCGTTCCCCACTCCCAAGATAATCAAAAAGGCCGCGCTCACAGACGTGCCAATGATGCCGCCCACCCGCTGAAACCCATCAAACCTGTCTCTTAGCGCTCCGCTCGTCGCAGCTACCACGATACAAGTGATGATGACAATGGTGCTGTGACCCAAGCTGAAAAAGGTGCCGACGGCTACGGGTCGCTGGCCCGAGGCAATCAAGCGGCGCGTCATCAGGTCGATGGCGCTGATGTGGTCGGCGTCAAGGGCGTGGCGGAGGCCGAGGGTGTAGGAGAGCACGGCGGGCGAGATCATTTTGGGGAAGTAGTGCAGGGTGATGCCGACGCCGGCCCAGACGAGGCAGTTGATGAGGATGAGGAGGGTGATGAGGTGGAGGGCGGGGCGGGGGATGTAGGAGAGGGGTGGTGGGAGCCGGAGGTGGGGGAGTTTGAGGCAGGCCATCTTGGGAAATTCTTGAGGTCGGCGGTGGTGGTGAGTGAGCTTGGACCAGACGTGAGTGAAGTGAAGTCGGGTGTCGTAGCCTTGATATATGTCTCGTCGTTGTATACGCTGCTCGCCGGTCGCCGGAGATCGAAGATGGGTGATTCTTCGATTACGTAAAAGTTCTATGTACCTCTTGAGGAATCGAGGTGGGAAACTTCTGCTGAGGCGCTCTTTCCTCCCGTAGATCGGAGGGAGTATTCGATGCTACATATTTGCTTGGAAGTCCCCACGATCCAAGTCTTGGAAGATGCAAAAAAGTCCAATTACCCCTCCATTGCGATAAGCATGATAGGTAACAAATGGAAGGTGTTGTCGAAAATGCTTATCTTATCTTTTTACTTCAAAAATTAGTAACGCCGTGTGGGGGAAGAATCCCGGTGTGGGGTCCAGTCCGAGTCCGGCGCGCTCCGGACCCGCTGTGCTCAGGAACGGTGGGTACCTCGGGCAATTTCCTTCATGGCGGGGCTTTCCTTCCCGCTGTGGAGCACCAGGACTTTAAAGCTTAATGTGTTATATAAGTGTTAGTGCACCCGCTGAAGAACGCCGCCACACCATAGCGAGGTACGTCGATACTGCAGCCACTCGTGGTGCTCAAGGTGGGTTCAATGAAAGGGTTGGAGGGTGGTTGATTAGAAGAAAGAGGAAGACTAAGACCAAAAAGCCCAGAAAGACAACTAAATACCCCGCCAATACCTAAGACACCATTGCACCTTCCAATACCTCGGTTCTACGAAGCCAGCACAACCAAGAAAAGGGAAGTATTGCCACCAAAATACCAAATGAAAAGCCGACGACTAATAGTTAGGAATCTCGTTAAAAAATTCTCCAGTCCTTAAAGAAGACTAACAATCCAAACCAATCACCCCAAAACCCCCCAAACAACCACCCCCCAAACCCCCATCCCCACCACCCTCTTCAGCGACATCTTCCCCTTCCCCTTCCCCATCCCCATTCCCCCCAATCCCGCGGCCGCACCCCCCTCCTTAACCTGCCAAACCGTAATATACGCCCCCGTTACGTTTCCCTTATTCCTCACACACTGCCCCATCGCATCCGCAGCCACCGCGCCATCCCTCCTTTTTCCATTCGTCCCATCTTTATTCCTTTCAAAGAGGAACTCATCGGGAATGAAACACCACAATGCGCACCCGTCCGGCTCAGCTATATGTACCTCGTTGTCGGGTTTCAGGTTGCAGCAGGCTGTCATGCCGGCTAGCGATTCGGGCCAGTTGGGGATGGCCCAGACGGAGCGGGATTGCGGGAGGCCTGGGATTTGGGAGAGGTCGGGCATGGATTCGTGGTTGCAGGTTGTGGAGGATGTGGGAGCGGTGGTGGTGGAGGAGGAGGAAGAGGGGGCGGCGGTTCGGGCCGCTATAGCTTGGTTTAGGGCTGGGGTGGGTGGTGACATTTTTGCTGCGGTTCGAGGCAAAGTGCTGTGGGTTATTGGCCTGGACGTTATCGCCGTTGGACTTGGAGATGAGTTTGATGAATGGAACTAGCTGGTGTGGTTGTCAGTTTGCATCGACAAGGTCTGTACCTCTGGGTGGTCAAGTTACCGATTGCTTTAGTTACTAAACGAAGAGCGTCTTGGTATGGCCATGAAAACGGATGGGAAAGAAGTTCTCACGATAAGGTAGCCAGCCTTAGAAACTTGAGACATCTTTCGAGGTCACAAAAAAACACGATGCTGGCTGGCATGACCAGACTATTAAAGTCTTAGCACGCTGGCATGAGCTGGGGTCGATTGGTGTGAAGAAGGCAGAGAGAGACATGTATTGATGATGTAGGAGAAGGGCGACTATAGGACACGAGGCCCACTGCTCCACATCCATGAATGAGACGCTTACCTACTTTCATTTTGGATCTTATTGGTACCTAAGGATGTCGGTGGAAGGAGGGGGAGATGACATGAAGGATGCAATGACATCGAACTTGACTGCTCCCAGCCACATCTGTATGTACTTGGCGAGCACATTTCTTTGCTTCTTTTTGGATTCTGTTGGTCAGTGAAACATGGGGGCCTGCCGATCAAGAGTGGACCTTTTGCCGGCACAGCTGTCACGAGTCCCCCTTTTCCCATGTCGACTGTGAGGGCTGAGGGGCCAGAAAGTTGTTGCGAAACGAAAAAAAACTTCGAGGTCGCATTGCTGGTAAGCGCCCCAATCACTCTCACCGTTCCAAACTGGGCGACCCGACAGCTTGGGACCTAGCGCTGATCGAGTGCGGTAAGTGCCTATAGGAGTAATGCGTTGTCTAGTCCGACTAGCGAATACCACCGTGACGTCTATTGATTCATTTGTCTCCGCGGAAGGGGGGCTTCGCCATTCAGCCTCATCCCCGCCGCCCCCGTGAGTTTGCTATGCAGTTTGGGCTCTATCCATTAGACAGAAGTATATTTGAGAAAGTATAGGTAGTGTGTCCAGGCAATGCTATGCTATTTGGCACCTGGAAATTCTTCCAAGAACTCTCAAATATTCTGTAGGTATTTGTACAGGTATGTACAAGCTGGAGACTGTTATATACGCTGGCAAGAGATCTCCCTAGTATAGAGTGGAGATAAGTGTAAAGGTACGTACCTCTAGGGTGCGCGTAGGTTTTCCCATATTCGTGCATGTCTTCATCAGACGTGTAACGAGAATACTACCTAGAGGGGAAAAGGACGGGCTCCTACCTACGAGCAACGCCGCCGTAACTGGGTACCTAGGTAGAGGTATATAGAGAAATCGTCTGTCTTTGGCTATGACCATACCAGAGACCATGTAAGAGTGTTCCTTCTTCATCAGCGCTTTTAGCACGCGAAAGTGCATGCAGCATTCTGAGCGTTCCTTCCCGCCAAAGTAACTGGCACTGCTTGGAGCCTCTATAAAATCCACCTGCCAGTCATAATCATCAATTTTGATGATCGTCTTTTTATGTGTAACTGGAGACTTTGCGGCCTGGCCCCCACAAGCTCACCCGTCCTTCCTGAGGCACCTTCGTCCGGCGGACAGCCAAGAGACGCTCCATCTTTAAAGCGCAGAACGCACAGTAAGGTAATATTGGTTCCTCAATCAACAAAAACACAATACGAGCTCTGTTGGTTGACAAACTACTACCTACCACTACAACTTCCCTTTTGCAGAATGGTACCGTCCGATCCCAATAATGCACTCAGCTGGCGCGGATTACATTACGGCTGAGCTTCGAAGTCCGCATTCTTGTCTCGTTGGCTCTGCTTCTTTTCTGCCGTGGTGATGATAGCAAAAGATGGGTCTTGAAGTTCACCTTCCACGTCGGTTGAACAGTAAGCCGAGACTGTTGGTAGCCCGCAGTTGTAGATGCTACACTACGATCGCTCGATATCTATGGCTGTCCGCGTCAGTCCCCCTTCCCGGACGAAGAAATGAAGAACAGGAAAGGATAAAAGGCCACCGGATGCCTACCCTCTGGTGCTACACCCTTCACATCATCACACTCGTCAACTTCTTTCCAATACACTCACTGAAATACTTTTCAAGCCTCCATTTTCCGCAACCTAGAGGTACCTGAAACCATGAAGTTTCTCCACCTCATCGTAGCCACCACCCCAGTGGCACTAGCATCTCCCTTATCCGGCAAAGGCACAATGTCCCGCGACAGCTCTGGGACTAAGCAGGTAGTCAACATTGATCTCCAAGTCAACAAGGTCACCTCGGAGTCTACCATCGAGGTATGGAACCAAGACCACACTCAAATGTTGACCCAGTCCTGCTCGACCTCTCTCAATCTCGAGACCGGCGGTCTGCAGGCCACCAAGAGCGTGCCTACTATCGCCTTCGATGTCGACCAAGATGGGTTTGGAACCCTCACCTTTGGCAACAAAACTTATACCGTCAGCGGAAACTCCGAGGTTTCTGGCGGTATTGAGTGCAACAGCATCGTCAGCGACACTGAGACTCTGATCAGCTGCACTGTACCGGAAGTCTCCCCCGAGGTCATGTTGCAACTCAACACCATCACCCTCGCGCAAAGAAACAAACTACCACCAAACTGCTTCCCTACCAGTGGGCCTCTCGAGATAACCGAGGTGGCACGAGTTGCTAATCAGGATGGAGGCCCCCGAGTGATTTCTCTTGCCGAGACTAGAGGTATGCGGACGTGGCAGCAACTGGATCTAGAAGCGGCTTCTTTAGCCGCAGGCAATGAGACACTCACGGTCGAGGACAACAACCACTTGGAGGAGGGACCTTCGAAGCGTCAGTATAATCCTTGTTCGCAGTGGACGCCGACGACAATCAGGGAAGGCGATGGGGACCCTCACCAGACGCCCAAGCACATCCAGGTGACTGTAAGTCTCCTCCATCTCAACACCTCCAATCCTTCCTGATCCCAATGATGCCTGGAAAGTATCGGAACAGAGCTAACCGCATACACCACCCACCAAAGGAATCCCTAGACTGCGGCAACGGCGAATGCAGCATCGGTCAAATCGAAGTTCACGCCATGACCATCCGTTTCACCGCTGGCGCCAAGTTATCCCGGTGGATCACCGCCGGCTTCCGGGTCGAGCAGTCCACAACAACAGGCAGCATCAAAGAATGCCGCGCGGGCGCGTACGACTGGGTTGCGGCCTGGGTGAAGGTGGGACGGACGTCTTACCGCGTTCGCAATGGGCTGTTCAACTCGTGCACGGGGACCAAGCCGCAGGGCGATGTCTTCACCATCACGTCCCCCAACGCCAACAACAACGGCGGCAATCCATATTGCGTCCGCGGAAAGCGGTACGTGCGCAGATTGGGTGATAGTTGGGATGAGGCTCCGAAGCCTGGTCTGCCCTGAGCCGGACGGGGCGGTCATCTTGTCGGGCTCGGTTGGAACGGACTTGGTACGATCGCAGCGAAGGGAACAAGAACAGAGGATCGCGGCCTTTTGGTTATTTCTGTTATGTCTTGAGAATCTCTGGGTGATATCTAGACCTGTATGTAGAGATATACAATTTTCTCAGTGAGGGGAGATGGGAAGAACAAAAGAATAGTAAGGGAACCCAACTCCTAAAAGATGAAGTTACCTCTACAAGAGGGCGCATTCTACCTCAAAACGAGCCGAAGGTGCTCGAGTTCATATCTGGTTTGTTCCATGCTGTAGCCTATCTGTGTTGAACTACGAAAACATGTCTGTTCCAGCTTCGATGCCTTGTACCTGCTAAGAAAGCTTTGCTACTCGATTACTCACGAGATTCTTCCAGATTCGGCACAAACCTAAAATCTTTATATTCCCTCCACCCCTGCAACAGGCCAAACTGCCTCCGGAAATTCTTTGCAAAGTGAATTATGCACCTTGCGTAAATGAACCACTGAGACCGTCAGCTGTATCCTCAACCGACAATGGACCCGTGTGTCAGATCTGCCTCGATGCATCTTGTTGGCCTCTACCTCGCTGTCCTCGGACCGCTGTTGTCAATGTGGTTAAGGTCAAGGACATCATGCCTTCCTTCCAAGTCCGGGCCGTCTTCCTCTCCCTGACGGGATCTTCCCACATGCCTAGGTAGACTCATGCAGTGGGAGTGAAGGACTAGACCCTTCTAATCGGCTTGGGGCAGGGATCACCCTCGTGGACAACATAGAACCGTTCCTGTAGTGATACCTAGGTCAATAATCCGTTTCGTTTTTCAACAAAGGGAAGGAGAGTCCTCACAAGATCTACACCGTGCATCTTTTTGAACCGACAATCATCTTTGTACCGGCAATCCTTCCCCCAGGCACAGTGATGACCGGCAAGGCAATAATCCTCTCTGCAATCACTTCCGTTCTTGCAAACCACACTTCTTGCTTTATACCAGAGATACTTTTTCGCCTCCTTACTCAGCGGCTCGCCATGGGTATAATCGCAAGGACCGTGATTGTTCTCAGCCAAGTGCTTGCATCGATTGATCAGGTGGTAGCCATTACAAAAGTTGGCGCGATTCTTCCTTGTTTTCTCTTCAATCTCTTCGCGTACTTTAGTGTCGGGTGCTCTACACAAGGGATAATCGACGCGCTGCTCGGCTTTGTTGAGGAAGAAGTACATCTTCTCAGACTTGGGGGGTTGTGGGTTGCGGCATTTGCCCATCAACACGTCGTTGCTGCTGGCCAGGCGACCGACTTTGATATAGCCCACAGGTTGGGTGCCTGCAGCCTTGGCATAGCTCAGGACTGGTTGTCTGTCCTTTTCTTCTGGTGCTTGGTTGTCCTCACTCTGAGAGTCGCCTGAGTTGGATGCTGCGAAACTGAAAGCGGCAGCTTGAGGCGGGCTGGGCCTCTTCGTGAGAGCGGCTGATGAAGGACCGCCATTGAACTGAACGGCTGATGGGTAAGCGACACAAGTTGACGAAGGGCTAGGAAATGGCTCGATGCTGCCGAAGGCGGTGATGGTGCTGCGGCTCTGTTGGCTGCGCTTCCTAAGGCAGAGAGGCTCGGAGCGAAAAATGTCTGGAAATTGTTGAAAGTTAAAATGTTGTTTCAGTTTTGCAATACCGTTTGCGGCGGGGGTCGTCTCCACGAGGGTGATTTTGTCAGTTGCCCATCTGCTGTACTCCTCAAGAGACGTGGCATAGCCATTGTCATGACACCCAGCCAGCATCACGCGCTTGCAATCCTTCAGGTTCACCATGAGTTCAAAGTGCTTTGTGGCCTTGAGATCTGCCTTTTCCTTGCCGTGGCCGACATCGATAAACTCAAAGAAGGGCTGAGCTTGGCAAAACCCGCGACCAAACTTTGTGAGCTTATCGTCCTCATGTATGATACCGGACTCCATCAAGGCTCTGGAGAGGCCTTCCACGTTCAGGTATATCTTGACCACGATGAATTTGATATGATCTTCAATATTGGCCGTTTCCAGGAATGTCTTGAGGGCTGAATGAAGCTTATGGGCAGCCTCGCGGCCACCCTCCTCGCCTTGGATTAAGTACTCGTCGTGGAACAACGCTCCGTCGCCATCAATTATTAGGCAAGCAAATGCGTTGGAGGACTGGGATGTGCAGCCTGTGTTAGCTCGCGGTCATCGTACATGGAAAGAAAAGAGCATACGTCATTCAGAGCCCGGTTCTTTGCTTCCAGGCAGCGGATCTTGTTTTCGAGATGCTCAGTCTTTTTTTCATACTCTTGGAGCTTGGTCCACATTTCCGTGTAGTGCTTGTCGTACTCTCTGAGTTTGTCATTTTTGTCGCGGTAAACATCCATCAAGAGGTTCAGGCCCTTGTTCATGTCGGTGTGCATAGAGTTATAGGTGTCGAGGGTAGCCAGAAAGTCCCTTGACATGTCCACATCGCTCGCACCGTTCGCTAAGCTGGCTAGCTGGCCGTCACTGGCATGTCCATTGTGTAACAAATGGTTTAGGTAGCCATGAAGGATGTGCCCGTTCGAGGGAGGATGGTCTTGGTGGTCGTAGCTGGCGTGCCCGTTTGCAGAAGAGTGGTCTTTATGGCCATGACCGACACGTCCATTCAAGAAGCGAGGGTCTCGATGGTCGTGGCTGTCATGCCCACTTCTGGGGAGATCGTGACTGGTCGCAGTCATCGGGTCGTTTCCAAGGGCGCTGAATGAGGGCGTGGATGTAATGCTGATGGTATGCTGATATTTTGTTGGTGATACTGCGCTGTCGTAATGGGCGTCAAGAGATGGAGGAATTTGATCGCTTGCACTTGAAGAGATGTGCGAGTTAGTTGTTTGTGCTGATGTTGTGGAGACAAAAACATCAGCCAGAAAGGCAGAGAACGGAGCAAGACTAGGTAATCCAAGCTAAGAGCGAACGCGGGTGGGATCAAGTGCCAAGCAGTCGAAGAGAGTGAATGGGTGAAAGAAAGGGAAGAGCAAAGGTTGAGATGAGTGGTCCAGTCACCTATGTTAAAGGAAGAAAGAAGTGATGACACCCCCAGCCGCGGTCCAGGTTGTGTCCCGTGGCAGGCACCTCTCGCAGTGTTGATGCCACCTTTCCACTTTCTTCTCCACAAGATGAGTGACAGGTAGAGGAGTAAGCGAGGCAGGAGCGAAGCACAAGGTACCTGTAGGTAGACAAAACCTGCTGATGCTGCTGCGGCCTGGACCAAGCGCCATTCCACTCGCCTTGCTGCAGGAGCATGTCTGTTTGGCAGGTATTGATGGTACAGTGTCTGGAAATTCCCGACAGACAAAGAACCCGGCCATTTGGTAAATTACGGTACCTTGGAGGAGATGTCAACGCCCTAACGGTCCCAAGTCCGAACAAAAGTAGAAAGAATAATTGGAAACACGATTAACTGGTTGCTTGGATAGTACCCATCACTTGTTCGGTTCTATCTCAATAGTAGTCTGCATACAGTTGACATCTGTCAGTGTTACCGCTCCATTTCCGACATGTTCCGCGCTCAATGACCAAGGGGAAGATTTGAACAAGAATCCGAGGCGCTTAAGAATTGAAAGGGGACGTGCGTGCTGTTGCGAAGACTGCAGATCCTGTTTTCTCTCTTGGTGTCTCTCTCATATCCTGCTATGCGAGTTGTCTTGCCCTCATCTCCTCTAGCCGAGGAACGTCAACAACAAACAACCGGATCCATCCATCTAGTCAGCTACTCAGCATTCCCAGAACAATGGACAATCTCTTGTTTCATACTTTACCTCTACTGGCCCCATGCACGGGAAACCATGTCGACCATCACATAGAATGCAACCGAGTTTCCCATCCAAGGATTCATGGGTACATCCCGCTACCTGGAACTTGCAACAATACTTTGTTTGGGTATGGCTAGCCAAATCGGGAGACGGGAGGACCAGTATATACCCACTCCAGGATCGCCAAATTCTGCTATTCAGACAAACAATGAGAATCCAGATACTAATTCGCGTCATACTATAAAGCCTCTGAGAATGGCATCAAGTCAGTAGCTGTGATGAGCACATCCTTGTGTGTATGCCGATATGGACTTCACGGCGGGCAGGACGTGTGCTGCATATGTTAGCACTAGTTGTTGAGGCTTTTGTCAGCAGCGGATGAGAAACAGCCCGAAATGCAACATGGACCACAACAGTGGCACATATCGCGGGGAGACGGAATGAGCCAAGGATTAAACACCAGTGAGCAAGTTTCAATACCGCAGAACTCGACATACATACAGTTGACTTCAAGCGGTTAGAGTTGAAATGAGTACTGTGCCTGCCTGCCTCAGAGTTCCTTCCCTGATTCCAATCGTGATGAAACAAAAGATGCGGGGAGCGGGAGTTGGGCGTCGGATATCCTGGCAAGTCGGCATCTGACACTTGGCAGTCGCAACCGACATTCTCAAGTTTTCTATATGTAAGCCAGACCCCGGGGCATTCTTTCTCTACTTCCATTCCCTTCAACCTTCCCATCCGTCAAATCTTGCTTGATTTTGACACTGCATCGCCACCAAGAAAGACCAACATGCGAACCGTCATCCTCTCTCTTCTCGCCGCCCTCGCTGCCTTCACCGACCTCGGCCACGCAGCATGTCCCGTCGGCGGCGACACCTCTATCCTCGCCAACACCGGCACTCCCATAGGCACAACCAAGGTTCTCGATGACACTGGCAGTAAGCCCCGTCGTCACTCCTTCTTGCCCTCCTGTTGAAACATACCGCTAACCACCCCCTTTTCCTCTCCAGTAACACTTTACATCACAGGCCCACCCCTCCACTTCCCTGCCAACGTCCACCCAGACACCGCAATCCTCCATCTCTCTGACATCTTTGGCCTCGACTCCCCTGCAAACCTTCTCCTCGCCGACTCCTTCGCCCGCGCAGGCTACCTCACCGTTGTACCGGATCTCTTCTCTGGCTCCCCCGCCCCCAGCGATTTGAACACGCCCGGCTTCAACCTCACTGAATTCCTCTCTGAACACTCACCGAGCGCTACGGACCCCATCATCGCTTCTACCATCTCCTTCATCCGCTCCTCCTTGAACGTCACTCGCATCGGAGCAGCGGGCTATTGTTTCGGGGGCCGCTCTGCCTTCCGCTTCCTCGATGACACCCTTTCTCCCGAAGAAAGGGTAGATGTAGCGTTCGTTGCCACCCCGAGTCTGCTAGAGGACGATGAGGTACTGGGTATCGATGGGCGAGTGAGCGTGGCGTTTGCAGACAATGATGCGCTGGTGAGTGCGGATAGAAGGGCGGAGATCGAGGCGCTGTTGCTGGAGACTGAGCAGGAGTACATGGTTAGTCTGTACTCGGGTACTGTCCATGGATTTGCGAGCAGTGCGGATGTGAGTGACAGGGAACTGAGGTTTGCGAAGGAGAGTGCGTTTCTGCAGGCGGTTAGATGGTTTGAGGAGTTCCTTGGAAGGGGGTTCAGCGGGTGCTGGTGAGGTGGACTGAGGTGTCCGAATTTTGGATACAAAGGAAGTGGGCGGATGTTGTTGGTGTTCATGTTGGGGTTGGTGTTGGCGTTGGGACAGGATGTTGGCGCTGAGGCGAGTGTTGGTGATTGGCAACAGACGCCGGCTGGAGAGCGCGTCAACAACAATGCGATACGCCGATACTTTCTTCACGATCACAAATTCTCCCGCACTCGAACATGAAAACTGGTACACTATGAATGTTGGTCGATCGTTATGTGCAAAGTCGCCTGAGAACGGGGTCACGGGTCGACAGACGCGCGCGACCTCCAGATGAGTTGACAGTATAACCGGCACGTACCAAGATGATGATCAGAAAACGAGCCGGTTGGCGACTGAGGTCTTTGATTCAAAGCGCTTAATGATAAGTGAGGGCCTGTAAAAAAGTTTATAACCAGCATCTGTCCTCATAAACGTGGGCAATTATATGATCTCACACCTCAACAGGGAGCACTTTGAAGCAGGTCTTCACCGATCATTCTCCAGTCAATCACAACATCGTGTTTGAACACATTCAAATCTTCTTATCCAGTACGCTCATCAACGAACACCATGCCAAAATCACACGTATCCCAAGCCAAAGATGTATCCTCGTCTCAAGAACGAGAACCTCCCAATCGTCCTAAAGAGCTCACTCCTCTAATTAGGCTACACAATTTATACAACTTCCGCTTACAGGGCGAGGAAAAGGACATCTACGAAGTCGTGCTGGAGGCACTCCGAAAGGGACTTGACTACGAAAAATGGGCATGGTGGCCATACCTCATATTTCCTATTCCCGAGGAGTGGTACGAAGAACCAGATCCGACTAAAAAGGGCGAACCCACAAAGGCCACTTACAAAGACCTTCATCACATGATGAAGCTTCTACAAGATGCAAAGTGGGGAACAAGGCTCGGATACGTTGTGAAGCTGCTTGACATACTGGGCGACAGCTGCATCACGAGGATCATCAGGGGAACTGCTGGGGAAGAATTCCAGAAGAGAAGAAAGTTGCACTTGGGCAGATTCTTGCTCACTTACAACTCCGTCTTGGCGATTCCCGGTTATGAGGATAACCAAGAGGCGAGAGAAATTTGTCTTCGGCTATTGAAGGAATTAAGGGTGACAAAAGATGAATTGGTCGAAGAGTTCCCGAGCGATAAATGGGACTACGAGAAAGATTTCTCCAATGGCAAAGTCATTGGGCCGGTCGATCTCGGAGGAAAAGACAGACAGGGAGACACAAGTTATTTCACCAAAGGCATGAAACTTGCAGCTGACGGACGGTTCCTAGACGGCACGGTCTACACGAAGGATCGTCTGATGGGATGGCTTAGAGACCAAGGAAATCAGCCTCCACGCACACCAGATGACGATAAAAGGCTGAGTGGTCACGACGACGTTCCGAGAACATGGAAGGGAGTCCGGGCTAATTCCTACCCCACACAACACCAAAGACAACCTACATCCGATATAAAATACAGATACGTGTCGGGTCTCCCCACGCCAACTAGAAGAGAGTCCGCCACAGCTCCTGACAGATACAAGCATGAGAAGGGTTACATTACCGAGCGTGACCGGGTCGATTACCCTAGAAATCATTACGCACCCCCTACATACACGAGAGACCACCGAGGCGAGCCAAGCTCCTCTACGTCAACAAGAAGACAGCCAGCTCCAGCCTCTGGGGAAGATGTGCTTCCCGAGCGTGTGCGGAAAATGGTGGACAATTACAGGGTTGATCATAGTCTTCAGAAGGGAGAATACTACTACAGATCGAAACATAGCAGATTGGTAAAGGCCAAGATTGATATTGAACTGAAAGGGCACTACAACAAAGCAAGATGTCAGCTTGGCTCCTCTATACATCATCATGGGGAAGGGATGCGAATGATATGGGATCGGATGGGACTGGACAGAATGGTTTCGCTACTTTGGAGCACACTTATCAAGTGAAGGGAACCTAGTTTTGTTGAGAGGAATCTGTTGAAGGTAGTCTGTCGTTACAGTCTTTGTTAGCAGTCTCCAATTTAGTCTAGTCGTTCAATTCGAATTCTTCGGGTCCTGCGACTTTTCCATCATGCCCTTGGTTATGATCTTTCCCCAAATTACCTCTTTTCATGCCCAAAGACGAGACCCTCCTACCATAATGATAACCGGGAAGGTAAGAACTAAGGTATCTCGCGCTGACATACCCTCACCCTCTTACCTTGATACCTCTACGTACTGTTCCTCACACCCTCAACCTCCTTTCACTCACCCTCAACTCCCTCCATCTCAACACTCTCTCCGTTACTCACCGCGTTTACCCTTACCTCCACTCTTTACATAGGTACACTTAGCCCCCTTACCTTCACACTAACCCTCACTTACCCTCACTCACCTCCTTTCACTCACAGCCTTACACTCCTCCACTCTCCACTCGCCCCCTCACCCCCTTACTTGCTTCCTCGCCTTCACTTTGGCACTCAACCTCTCACTCTCGCACTCTCACACCCTCTCACACCCTCTTACACCCCTCCCTCTCACCACCGCACACTTAGTACCTCGTACCTCGTACCTCGTACCTAGTACCTCGACCTCACAGACCTCACCCTCCCAGCCCTCATCTGCCTCGGCCCCCTCCCCCCACTACAATGCTTCTCCCCATGGAGGTAAAGCCAGACCAAACACAACATTATTAGCGCCACTATTCTCAAGGTACTTTCTACGACAGTCGAGGGGTCGTAATGGTGGTGGGTTTTTGTGTCTGATTCTGGGCTGGTTATGGTGCTGTTGTCAGTGTTGGTGTCGGTGCCGTTGTTGGTGGTGCGTGTCAGACTCGGTGTTAGACTCGGGATGGTCGGCGTAGAGAGCTGCGAAACATGTGGTGCCGTGTAAGGGACTACGGTTGTGTTAGCGGTTGTTCCATTTATGATTACATCGCGAGAAAGGGGAACGGGGATGGCGGAGACGGAGACACTGCTTGTAGAGGAGAGGGCTACTAGCAGGAGAGCTAGGGCTCCTAGAGGTATGTTTGTGGTCATGGTGATGATGCGGGGGGTTGAATGGAAGGAAGGCATCAATGTTGATGAGAGTTCAGCTTGCGGAAGGCGCGAACGCAATTGAATTAAAGTGACAGTGTGAAATGATACCAGCTTCTGCTCTAATGAGTCCGGTCGATGTTATGTCACGGTATCGTCGTAGTGGTGGACAAATATCCGCAAATGCTGTTAGGATTCCCGTGATGATGAATAATCGTGTCTTGTAGAAGGGTTCGCGCCCTTTTATGTGTCGTCGAGGTACTAGGTAGTTATGAGCAGAAATACAATCCCATTCTTCAACCGACAAGCAACATTCCTTCAATCGAGATCATCGATGTCTTGCTAACAATACAAGTATTCAGTGTGGAACAGACGCCTCGCTTCAGATAAAGAACAAAGAACTTGAACTTTGCTCACAAGTCTGACTGACTGACTGAATGAGTGACACGACAGATTCGGGGCGCAGACGAGGAAAGGACGGCCGACCCACTTAAGTCACCCGGGAAGCGTCTTCCGGACTTCCGTCTTTGTTCTTCCGTTGCGGGATCAAGCTCATACTTCTTGAATGGGCATTGTGGATATCTCAAAGTCTTTGTCAATCTGAAATTTGACACATTATCGAGGGTTTGAGGGTTGTGCGTCAAGTACGTACCGTACCTGAACTCAATATAGTTGTCTGTGAACATTGAGCTGTCTGTAGAACAGTGGACGAAATGGCTTTGTTTACTTACCCCTGAGCATAGTGGGACTTACTTGATGGAGCAAGCTGAATGCAGGGGTTGCTTGAAAAGGAAATTTCGAATGATAGCCCAGAGTGGCTGACACTTGAAGCTTTCATTGGCGAAAACTAAACTCATGGCCCCGCAACCAAAAATCGGCCTTGGCTTTCCAGTTTCCGTCACGACATCTGTTGTCTGAGTCTCCAAATATCGGAGATCAACGAAAGGCGGAAACAGCTCGATACCGACCGGGCTGCTATAGCCAGACATTCTACAGTTATCACGAAAACATCTTGGAGCCGCGCTCCAATTAGAGATACTCATCATCATTAGTCTACGAGTCGACTACGTCATTACCCAAATACCCCAAGAGCTCCAGACCCCCGTGCATCATTGTACACAACTTCCCATCTACACCTCCTCACCAGCCACGCTCTCATACCCCCCACCTCTCCTCCTCCCTCCGCCACCAGATGTCATGAACCCCGGACTCTCATACATATCCGTATAGTTCACCGGTACACCGCCCAGCACCGCCGCGCCATTCTCATGCTTGCCAAACATGGGGCTCGGATCACACCAAAAGTCCTTACAATTCGTGACGCACCCTCTGCTATAGGGGTTGCCGCGCTTGTTTCTCTTGGATCCCTTGCCCGTAGTCGCACCCCGACCTGCCGCAGTTTCAATAAAGGCGTCGACGCCGAGAAGCCGGGACCATTGCTTGATGAAGCCTTGCTTGTGGTTGTGTCCGTGTGCGTGGCGGCCACCGTGACGAGCGCCGCCTGCAGCAGGGGATGGACCGGGGGCGGGGAGAGAGGGTGGGTTGAGGGGGGCGCCGGTGGAGGTGAAGGCGCTGTTGAGGGAGGTGGCCGAGTAATTGTCGATGCCGTGCATGTTTTCGTACGTGGTCATCGCGCTAGAGACTTGGACGAACTGGACAAAGAGGAGCATGGAGACCCAGGTGAGTTGAAGCGAGGCCCAGATGGCAGTTAGGAGGCTGTAGGTATCGGCGTTGACGATGCGGCAGAGCGAGGGGGCCAGGATGTTGCACTCGTCGGAGGCGGTCTCGGAGAGGGTGGAAAGGTCTGCTTGCGTTAGCAATCGGTCTGTAGGAACTTGATGGGATAGACTCACATCTGTAGGTCAACCAGTCATAGGTGACAACACTCAGAGTAAGGTTGATGAGGTAAAGAAAGAAATGACGGTGGTTGTTGACGCCGATGCAGTTGTACACCCAAGGGCAGTG